TTTTTTTTTTCAGGTAAATACCCAGGACTAGAGTTGCTGGATCATATGGTAGTTCTATTTTTAGTTTTTTGAGGAACCTCCATACTGTTTTCCACAGGAGCTGCACCCATTTATATTTCCACCAACAGTGTACAAGTGTTCCCTTTTCTTCACATCCTTGCCAGCATTTGTTATCTGTGGTCTTTTGATGATAGCCCATCTGACAGGTGGGAGGTGATATCTCATTGCGGTTTTAATTTGCATTTCCCTGATGATTAGTGATGTTGAGTATCTTTTCTTGTGTCTGTTGGCCATCTGTATGTCTTCTTTGGAAAAATGTTTATTCAGGTCTTCTGCCCATTTTTTAATCACGTTGTTTGTTTTTCTGATGTTGAGTTGTATGAGCTCTTTATATATTTTGGATATTAACCCCTTTTTGGTCATATCATTTGCAAACATTTTCTCCCATTCAGTGGGTTGCCTTTTCGTTTTGTCCATGGTTTCCTTTTGCTGTGCAAAAGCTTTTACATTTAATTAGGTCCCATTTATTTATTTTTCCTTTTGTTTCCTTTGTCTTAGGAGACAGATCAAAAAAATATTGCCACAATTTATGTCAAAGAGTGTTCTATGTTTTCAAGTTTTATGGTGTCTGGTTTGGCTCTTTTTTATTATTTAATTTTTTAGTGTGCAAATCTTAAGTGCACAGGTTGTTTAACTTTTATGTATGTACACACTAGTATAACCACCACCCAGTTCGAGATATAGAACTTTTACGGTGCCCTAGAAGGCTTCCTCGGTGGCGCCCTCCCAGCCAGTCCTGTTCTATTTTTTCAAAGCATTTGTCGCCTTTTAAGATACAATATGCCTGACTGGTTCATTGATGTATCCAAGTCACTAGAACGGTGCCTAGCACATAGCAGGGACTCAATAAACATTCGTTAAATGAATAAATCTCTCAAACAACACCCATCCTGTCTCACTGTCCACACCTCCCCCTCCCCATCTACCCCTCCCCCACCCCTCCCCCTCTCCCTCATAGTCTGTAAGAGAAGCAACCTAGCTTGTAATCTTCAGTGTCTACACAGGGATGTTAAATGCAGCCGTGGGGATGGTATTTATCAGAACCGGGCATGGGCGTGGATTGGATGTGTTTGAATATAGTTTCTCTTCTATGCAATGTTTTCTTGGACAGATTGAGCTCTTGCTGGGATGTCTGCAAGGAGGAAGGGATCCCTCCTTTAGTCTGGAGTCATCTCTTGATTCCTAGGTTTACTGGCATTTGCCCTTCTCAGCAGCCTCTCTCCCTCCACCTCTCTTGTTCCTCCTAATACCGTCACCCAGTCTGGAGAACTTGGCTCATCTTCCACGCTTCCACCTGCCAGTCGGGTGCAGGTTCTGGCCACTCTGCGCCCTGGCCATTTCTTCTCCGTGGTGTCCCTGGAAGCTCCTCTTCCTTTTCATTTCCACCGGCAACTCCTTCAGGCCCACCTTATGCTACTGTACCAAGTGGTATCCCAATCTTAGCCTTATCCTTTTCCAAACTCTCCCCTTTACTTTCCCCAAAACACAACCTGATCATGTCCCTGCTGTGGTCATGAACTTTGAATCGTTTGCAGATGCTGCCAAAAGCAAGCCCCCCAACGCTGTAGCCTGCCTTCAATTGGGACCTGTTTCCAGCCCCCAATTCCCTCACTAGTCTTGTTTACCGATGCACTGCCAGCCATCTGGTCTACCCCATTGTCACTAAACAGGCCCTGTGTTTTCTGGCTTCTAGACATTTGCTCTGTTGTTGGGCTCAGAAAATAAGCGCTGGAAGGAACTATTTGAGATCATCTGGTCCAGACTCATTTTATGGATGAGGAAACTGAGGCTCAGAGAGATTAAACGACTGACCAGCACCACCTGTGTTTAACAATATCGGTTGAATCTTTCATATACTGAAGATCAAATTGGTGGACCACTCTTTGAATATCCTCCTCATGCAACCCAGATCCCGGAAAGTGTGGATCTTTGAGTTTCACCTCAAGCATGGCCTCTGAAATGAAGTCTTCCTTAAGCCCCCAGTTTGGAGTCTGAACTCTTGGCCTCTCTGATCTGCAGATAACTTGCTATTTGTCTGTGAGTCCTATCTCCCCTAGTACATTTTCAGCAAACTCTTTGATTCATCTTTGACTTTCCTCCATTCTTATCGCAGAGACTTTTCCATAGCAAGTGAGCAGTAAAATTCTGCGGAACAGAGTTTCTGGTGTAAGGGACGGTGCTTCAAAGCGCCCAGACACCAGCTAGCAACCAGGCACGTGAGTCCAAAAGTTCCAATTACACCGCACCATTCGCACGCCGCGCCCTGGCTCCTTTTGACTCCAAACCCGTAAAGGTGAGGGCGTTTGGTTTCAGCCGAAAGCCTGCTTGCTGCAATTACAGGATAAGTTTCTCGAAGTCTTTTGGCGCTGTCTCTTCCCCCGCCCTCCGTGCGGCGAACCGCGACGCGCATTCGGTGACCGGTCCCCGAACGTGACTTGGCATCGAGAGGGTACAGCTCCCCTTACCGAGGGAGCTCAGGTCCCGGGCGAGCCGCGGCCTCGCCAGCTTTCCGGGCTGGCGCGGTCACCGACCTCAAGCGGCGGTCAGACTGGCCGAGGGTGGCGGCGAAGTGACGCGGGGCTGGCGGGGCGGGGTGGCAATCGCGTCCCCAGGGAGGCGGGAGCGTCCGGGGAGCCGAGAGCGGGCCAGGCGAGGCGGGAGACGCGCTCGGGGCACGGCCTGGGTGACCCCCTAACGCCGGGGCGCACGAGGGCACGGGGCTCGACCTGGGTTGCGTCTGCCCGTGTCGGGGCTCGCCGTCCAGCTCTTCTCCGCCCAGGGGAGGAACAGAAGGAGGGCCGACGGCCGGGCCCGCCCCCAGCCCCAGCTGCGGCTGCCAGTAGGAGACTAGAGGCAACACCCGGGAGCGGAGAAACCAGTTTGGCTGGTCTCGCGGAGCGGAGGGAAAAGGGCGGCCGCAGAGGAAGGGGGCGCGTACGCGGGGCGGGGGCAGGCGGGGAGCCACTGGAGAGCTGCGAGAGCCGGAGGAGCCTCCGCCAACTGGACACGCTTCCCGGGGCCCCGGGCCAGCCCCGTGCGCCATGAAGCGCTAGCGCTGCGGCCAGCGCTGGGGCCGGGCTGGCGGGCGGCTGCTGCGGGCAGGTGCGCAAGCGAGCGCGCGGATAGGCGCGCACCCGGCGGATGCCCCAGTCGGGGCCCAGCGAGCGCCAGGTAAGGAGGGGCGCGGCGCCGGGACCCCTGATCTGCCGCACCCCGCGGGCCCCGCAGGTCCCCTGGCCGCCCGGGGGCGGCGGACTCCGGAGAACAGGGATGCAGTGGCAGCAGCTGTCCGCGCCCTCGGGCTCCTGAGCCCGTAAGGGTGGGATTTGGGTGGCGGTGCCGGGAGCCTTCGCTGCCTTGGGGATGGGGAGACGCAGCTGGTGGGGCAGGCAGCACTGTGGAGAAGGCCATGGGCTTTTCACCTGCGGGAGGAGAGGGAACTTGCGGGAGGTGTTTGGGTTCTTCTTTCGTTTGCTACGCTCAGGTCCGGGCTGAAGTTCCGAGGGGCAAGCCTGGCAGGGCCTGTGGGTACTTGAGGAGCGCCGCTGGTTTCCCTGCAATATCTGTCGCCCCTCTGGAAGTCCCTCTTGACAGGGTTCTGCTGGTGGCCCCTTTGGGAGCCGATGCAAACGCGTCCGAAAAAAAGACCTTTGGGCCGAATGCACCGGCAGCACCTTCAGGGAGGGATGGAGGGTGAGGTCGCCCCCACCAAGCCTACTGCGGGACCAGGAACCCTCCAGACATCTTCCGAGGGCCTGAGTGCAGGTTGGGAGGTGATGCGGAAGAGGGGTACATTTTTCCCCGGTGATTGTAGGGTCGTATCCGCCAGCTCCCATGGCACTGCCAACAGGCCATCTCCTTCCCTCCCCAGTTTGATGCCTGGCGCTGTCACCTCGCTCTGGGCGTGCGGAGTGGCAGCTTGTTGGGGGAGGGGTGTTGCAGGGAACGGCGAGTGTTTTAACCCCCCCACTTCCCCACTCCTCCCCAGGTGAGGGAAGAGCTTGTAATTGTCCGCCCAGCTTCTCCGGGGAGTGTAAGCGCCTGGTCCCCGACGGGGGTGGGGAGGGGAGGCTTGGAACACTGATCAGTAACAGCTGTAGGGGAGGACGAGGGTGCTGAGGCGATGCAGAACGGCGGAGGAGGTTCGATACGCGCGGGGAAAGGGAACCCGAGCTCCATTTCTGCTTAGTGACCCCCTCAGCCCCGCCCGAACCCTTCGTCCTGCCCGCGAAGCCCCTGGCGCGCTCGAAGTCCTTGGGTAGCTCCGGACGCCGCCAGTTTCCCCTCCCGGAAACGGCCCGCCCTGTTGGCTTAAGAAAAGTTTCTCTCCCATCTTCCTGGTTGCATTGCCTTCACATCTCTGCCTTCATTCCTCGAGAATGAAATGAGACAACACAGGCGGAGTACTGAAAGACCACCCAGCACGCGGTAGGCTCCAGAGGAAGGTTAACTGCTTTTAAAAAACAAAAGCCAAAAATGATGTGTGATAAAATCTCCAGTGATGGTAAACACAAGGGCAGATTAAAAGAGAAAACAGCACAAAATGTGAAGTAGAAGTTCTAATTTTCATGTCTGGGGAGTACTTTTGTATTGGACCTAAAATGCCATTCATTAATTCCGGGCCTGTTGTTGAAGCCCTCATTAAAACCTATTATAAATGCATATACTGTGCAAAAGGTGATGAACGGTTATTAGCTGTCGCTTGTTACTTTCTGGGGGAGAAATCTGCCTGCCTGCAGTTATTCCTCGGAATCCTCCTAATGGTATTCATTAGGTAGTGGAGGCTTCCATGTTCTAATGTTAGGTGAGAAATCTTAACCTCTGTTCCTTTGCCATTTTATGGTGACCGTACATTCATAATTTTTAGGATTTCTTTGGTCTGTTATTGGGGGCCAAACAAGACTCAGACAGCTTAATACTAGTGAACGGAAATGCCATCTGCGTGAAAGCGGCCTTCAGGTTTTCTGTTTTTTATTTTAAGGAAAATGCATATCGGTATGCCCTTATTACTTGTTAGTGATAGAAATAGGAGTTTTTCTGTTTGCATGTTTTTGTAATTGAGCCTTTAAAATAATGTGGTGAAAACGTGCATGTGTAAGTTGTCTGCAGGTGTAAAGCGAGTTGAGGACTGGCTCTGTTTCACCTGTATTTTTCTGTGGTCTTGGCAGCAACAGCACTGACCACATGCAGCTGTGGAATGTTTCTTGCCCTATCTGTTGCCCTTTCCCTCCTCCTTTTTTCTTTTTCCTTCCTTCTTTCTCTGTTTTCTAAAGCAAGGAGTCGTGGAAAACATATGGATTTAGATCCCCACAGGTTTCAGTTCTTTTACTTTAAATTGCATTTAATGTTTGCAATTTATTCTTATTTATTTACTTTAAAAATTGTATAACCTTAGATGAATTCCTAAATTTTCTGAATTTACTCATTTGCTGGAAAAAATATTTTTCAGCCTCCTTGGGTTGTTGAGGATTAAATGAGAGAACAGGCGAACCTTCCTTACACATAATAGGTGTTCGAATGTTGCTTTCTTATTTTCTTTATTAAATGGATATTTTAAAAATATTAGTATGATGCCCAGATAGTTGGTGTATTTTAAATATTTTATTGCCTTACTAAAGTTTGAATTCAATTTTAGTGTTTCCCAAACATTCATGGAATCCAGGTGATCCTTATAACTCACCTGAGAGAGATTTTAATCTACTCGTTACCTTTGCTCTTTAGTTTCAATCATTGTAAAAGAAGCCTGCGCTCTTACAAATGCAGAGGAACTTGCTTTTTAGATACCAGAGCAAGTTTTATGGGGTCTGTTCATGTCCCATGTCTGTAAAGAGAGGTGCCTTTACAATTTCTTAGGCACTTAATTTTAGAATTTGCTTCTATATCTGCTTCTAGATTAGTCTCCTGGGATGGTTTTTTTGGGTGTCTTTAGGTATCTTGTGAGTTTTCAGGTCTGTTTGTTGGCATTGTTCAATTAGATTAATTGCATTCATGCCTGTAGGTGTTGTTTTGTTACTTATTAAGATAAGTAAAAATTAATTTGCTACCAGAAGAGTTTTATTAACACGAAAAGAAGACAGGTTTATTCTGTTAAGCAGTTTACTCCCAAATCCCCATCCCTGTGCCCAGCTATAAATAATATCCAGTCTGAGATCTTTTGAGGTCCTGTGTCACCGAAGAGCTGGCGTTATGGAAGAAGAGTCTAGAAGGTATACACACACACATGCACATCAGTGTGTGTGTATGTGTGTGTATAAAACAGTCTTGTTTCTCATTTTTATTAGAAAACAAAGGATTTTTTATCATCTGATTATTTAGGAACATATTAATACTTTTCCTAATTCTTCTAAGTGTGTTGCATGTTAAAATAAATTGTCACCAAAACCATGCACAATGGGAACTATGTTTGATAACTGGTCCCATGGAGACTGAACCCAGAGGCAGCAGTGAGGGGTTAGTAGCAGGTGCTTTGGAGTCCTGTGACCTGGCTTGGAATCTAGGCCTCGCTGCTCCCTAGCTGTATAACCCAGGGCAAGTTATTAGTACTTAACTGATCTAGCTTTAGTTTCCTCATCTGTAAGATGGAATAGTAATAGTACTATCTCAGAGCGTTGTGTGCTGAGTTCCAAACGAGAGAATTTATCTAAAAGGGCTTAGCACAGAGCTCAATTAAAAGTAGTCAGTATTATTACTGTTGTGTTGTTGATATCTCTCAGCAAATATTTATGGCTCATGCAGCCATTGCCTTTCTCCTAGACTATGCGGGAAACGGGAATCACTCTGTATGTTAGTATTCATTTAGCAAACATAGGTGTCTGTTTGCACCAGGCATTGGTAAGAAAGAGTCCCCTGGAGCAGGGGCGAGGTTCTGAACTTTCAGATCCAGGGCTTGGGTTCTGGAGCCCAAGTGTCTGGGGAGTGGCACGAAGGACCAGGGCGCTCAGTGACCTAGGGATGTGCTCACTCAGTCACAGCCACGAGGGGAGGCTGCTCCCACCGGGGCATTCTATCCTCCTGCAGAGTGGAGGGAGGCCCTTGGGACATACTGAGCACTGCTGGGTCTCCTTTCCCCCCACTTCCCGTCTGTCTTTCATCTTCCTCCCCTCTGTACTCTTGTATTAAAAAAAAGAAAAATTAGGGCTTCCCTAGTGGCGCAGTGGTTGAGAGTCTGCCTGCCGATGCAGGGGACGCGGGTTCGTGCCCCGGTCTGGGAAGATCCCACATGCCGCGGAGCGGCTGGGCCCGTGAGCCATGGCCGCTGAGCCTGCATGTCCGGAGCCTGTGATCCGCAACGGGAGAGGCCAAAACAGCGCGAGGCCTCTGCATGGGAAAAAAAAAAAAAAAAAAAAAATTACTCTTCCCTGTTCAAAACTTGGGAGTTTCTGAACCTTGAGTCTTTTTAAAGGATCGGTACTTTCTGCATGGTTTCTGAGTTGTGGCACCTGGTGAGCATCGCTAATGACAGAGACCTTTGCTACAGTCCCATCCATCCACCCATCCATCCATCCATTCATTCATTTAAAACAATGGCTTGAACATCTTCTCCAGGCACTGTGCTGGGGATTACCCACTTGCTTCACGGAAGCCTGCGGGATTCACAGAGGGCCTGAGTCGTGTTTTTTTCTCTTTTCCTCTTTGGTAAGAAAGTAGATCTGGTGTTGTCTTTCTTCCTGATCTGGACTTTGTCCCTCTCTGCCTGGAGAGGTGGTTGTCTTAGACCATGGAGGGTGGCCCTGGCCGCTCCCAGTTCTGAAGCTCTGTGTTCATTATCAGTCTTCAAGTCCAGTGAATTTGCATTTAATAAAGGAGAGCTGGGCCTGGAGGCTATGACAGATCAGTGGTAGGAAGCTGGCTCTCAGTCTTGGGGAAAGGACTCCTGGGGTTGGGGGGTGTCAGGTCACCCCGGTTCTGGGGCCATCCTTCTGTGGTGATGACACCTCCCCCTAGCGTGACCGAGAAGCCTGGCACTGCTCACTGAGTACGTGTGTAGCCTGACCTTTGGCTAGCAGCTCTGGTCTTTATTTACAGGGCTGTCATTTATGGCTTTGTCTCTTTGCTGTGTGGCTTCTGTTCACCAGAGTTGAGGTTTGCTTGATTTAGAGCAAGGCAGCATTTGAAACCAGTTTTCTAACCTTTACTCAAATTGAGTTGAGCTGGAATAGCCTCATCGGAAC